GGGGAGGTGAAGGGGGGAAAGTAGGGGTGGAGAGGAACAGGACAGAGAGAGCAGGCCTGCAATGGGGCCAGAGGTACCGTCAGCCACCACAGGTCCTTCCGATGGCGAGAGCATCAAAGGGCTGGGATTCCCTTCCCCGCTAGTTTTTGAAAACCAACCTCAGGCCAGGCACTGGCCAGTGTTTATGGGAAATCGGGCCCCAGGGATCTCCTATTCCTTCCTCAGGTCTTCATGGGATCCAGAAAAGAGATTGGATCTTAGGAAGTCCCACCCCATAGAGGAGACTGGATTTTCACCTGGGCCCAGGAAAGACAGTGGGAGAAACACCAGGCAGGTCCCGGCCTCTCTGTGCACCTGGGCTGGGTAGAGAAACCAGTGATGAAGTGGTGTCAATCACAGACTGAGGCCGGGGCGGGGGTGAGAGCACGCGTGGAGGCGATTAGGTGGTGCGTTGCCGTGAGTGCTTAGGAGAAATGGTTGGCTCATGTCACACAGGTCCTAGGCAAGGTTGTGCATCTGGTCTACCCAACCGGCATACAGTGGAAGAAGCAAGTATTAACATTAACATCACAGCATCACAAATCCTTTCAAATTCTATTGAGCCCAAGTCACAGTCATCTCTCTCCATTGCCCACCTGTTAACACATTTTCCTGCATCCACTCCTACCTATTCCAATCCCTTGACATATCAGCCACCAGAGTGGTCTTCTCTATTCATATTTCATCATGTCTGTCTATTGCTCTCAATATCTCTCAATCACACACACACACACACACACACACACACACACACACACCCTAGAATGTTTCAGTAGCTTCCCTTCCATTCCTCTTCTGTAAAAAGGAAAGACCGGAGGTGTCTGAGGCCTGGGGTCCCCTTGGGACCCTGCCTCCACCTTACACCCCCCCCCCCTTGTTCCTTCTGCTCCAGCCACAGAGACCTTCTTTTCTTCTCCCCATTAGCCAGGCCCGTTCCCTTTGCAGAGCTGGGCTTCTCTGCCTTGGACTCTCTCCCTCCCCTGGGTTGCTCCGACTCGTCCTTCAGGTCTGGCTTGAATGCCGCATCTGCAGAAAACCTTCCTTAGCTCCCTAACCAAGTCCAATGCCTGCATACTAGCTGCTATCCTAGCACTGTGTCTCTTCTTTCAACCCTGAACCCCCACTGAAATTTTGTATTTGCAGAGATTATTTGATTAGTGCCCATCTCTTGCACTGTAGGCTCCATGAGGGTGAGGACCGTTGTCTGTTTTGGCCCACTGTTCCAGCCTCGGTGCACAATGCCTGGCATGAAGAGACGCTCAATCACTTTGTGCTAAATTAATGGAATCAGGAAATCCTAATGGTGCATGGGCTCATGTGCACAGAGATGGGGCTCAGGCGGGGATTGGGAGCGGGGAGAGCTGGGCTGCGGAGTGCACCCGACGACGCAAATGGGAGGAGCTGCTCTGGGGGGAGCTGTCAGGCTGGGAGATGAATGGGGTTGGATACCAAGACGCCATCTCGTGCTGGCACCAACAGGCCAGGCTCCAGCACCAGGGTGGTCGGCGCATCAGACCACGGTGAGGGACAGACGGGGCAGTGGGGTGCTGAGCAGGCTGGTCCAGGAGCTGGCTGTCTCTACCCACCACCTCCTGCCAGGAGCCAACAGAGCCGGGCCAGGCTGGCGATGTGCTGAGGCAGCTTTGGGCACCCGCCTGGACCATCATCCCCTCGTGGGGCTGCGTGTAAACAGTCACAGCATCACACGTGCACGTGAACACGGACCTTTAGGAACCAACTTTGAGCAGGCTCCGGAGATGCTGACGTGGAACATTTGCAAACATCTCACAAAACCTCAGACGTGGAAGGGAGCGTCAAGGGCACTCAACCCGAGCCCAGAGCTTGAGTGCCTTCGCTAGTGTCCCTGCACGCAGCCTTGTCTACAACATCTGCAAGACCAGAGCTTCCTGGCTCTCACCAAGCGCACGGAGCCCAAGTCCCTTAGTCCCTGTCTTCCCACCTGTCCACGCACACCCTCCTACGGCGGCGACCTTCAGCAAGGAGGCCCCTCACCCGCAGCTCCAGCGGCAAGCACCCAGGATGTCTCCTTCCACTCGCTTGAACGGACTCACGGCAGCCGTCAGTGGCTGGCTGTGTCTCACACCCAGACCCATTGTCTCAAAGAACAACATGAACTAGAGACCTGCACACCAGGAAAGTAAACCCTCAAAGTCCTGACCTGTATTTCCTGGGGCCTGCCCGCGTGTGCGAAGGACCAGGAGAAATGTGTTTCTTCTCTGGCCATCCTGTGTTCCTCGGCCTTGTGTGTGTGTGTGTGTGTGTGTGTGTGTGCTTATGTGTGTGGGTGCGTATGTCTCTGTGTGAGTGTGTCTGTGTCTGTGTGTGTATGAGTGAGTATGTCTGTGTGCCTGTCTCTCTGTGTGTGAGTGTGCATGTCTGGGTGTGTGTGAATGGGGGGGTGGGGGTGCCTCAAAGAAGTGGGGGCTGAGAGGGGTGTGTAGACCTCACTGGCTCTTAAGTATCTTCCAGGATGGGTTATACAGAACAAAGTCGGGTAGACATAGGGAATTGACAGTTCCTGACAAAGCGGAGTATTTCTGGCTTCGTGAGGAGGGACACGGCTCCATACTCAGAAAAGTCACTTTTCTCCTGAAATACTCTTCCCTGGATTGTCATTGATGCCTATGTTCCCCCCTCTCTCCTAAGGGAAAGATCCCCCTGCTTTGTCTGACCCTCCAAGAGCAAGGGCTCCCCCCTTTCTACCGCCTCTCCCCCCAATGCCCAGAGGGGAGCTCTCATTCTAAAGGTGGGTGCAGCTCTCTCCTTCCCACCGCAAAATCACGCTGTCACCATCTCCCTTGTTTCAGTGTCTTCTGTCCCCTTCTGCCCCCCTTGTCTTCTTGCGGCCCCAGAAAGCTGACTGAGGTCAGTGGGAAGATGTGTCAGGGGGTCTGGTCTGCCTGCTCTCTAGTTGAGGATGGGAATGAGAGAAGGGAGAGGGGAGATGGTCCCCTGGGACCTCTCCTGGTGGAGGGTGGTGCCAGGGCAAGGACTCCCCTCGGGGTGTGTGCCTACAGACCACTCTCCAACTGTGGAGGATTCACTGGAGGGAAAACCCATCTTGGGACCAGATCCCCGATGAGGGCGGCAGAGGCTGGTCTTTGAGACACACCTCCACCAAACAGACTGTTTCCCCCAAGAGAGGAGAAAGAAGCTGAGGAAGCTGGACAGCACCACGGAGGGGAGAAGGGGGCCAGGACACTGGGCAGCCCCCCCTCCTGGGACCTGAAGGGCCTCAGACTCACCCCACAAAGTAGGAGATGATGAGAAGCTGAACGGCCCGGTTGATGATCCCAATGGTCCAGCTCTTCACAACCACAGACTTGGTGGTCTCGTAGGTGAAGAAATCTGACATGCAGTTCATCCTGAGAGTGTGCGCATGGACCGCTCAGAGGGACCCAGTGGTGGCTGCAGGAGGCAGAGGTCCTCAGACCGGGAGACGGGGATCAAGGAGGCCTGGAGGGGGCAGTTTAGAGGGGCTGGTGGAATGGGGAGCCTGCTCCTTTAAGTCAGGCAACCCTAGCCCAGAGCCCAGGCTCTCTCTGCTCTTGACGCTCTGGGCTGCCAAGAGTCGAAGGCCAGGGCGGGGGACCCCTTTTTGTTCGTCTCCACCCCACTCCCCTGTGATGTCACAGCAGGGGTGGGGTCTCCAATCCCTGGCTCCTGATTGCCTGCGATCCAGCTGGAGAGGGCCCTCTGGGACTCATGCTTCATCTGCACTCTGGCTACCGTTTCTGTTCCGTTCTCTATGCTGCATCCTCAGCCCAGCTCACCAGCTGCTTTATGCTCTCCTGAAAGCCCCTCACAATGGCCCATCCCCCAGCCACCTAATAGCCTCCCTCTAGGAGTACCCCCTTCACTCCAGTCTTTAATAGAATGGGTCAAGGGAGGGGTCTCAAACAGCTCTCTTGTTCTCCCGGGAGGGAGTAAGGAATCGCAGTTCACGTTTCTAACTCAAGTTGGCAGTGGCTGAAGATCTACCTGTAGAATAGCATTATCAAGTGTTTTTTTGTTGTTATTGTTTTTATGTTTTTGTTTTACTGTCAGTTTACTTATCTGAATCATTTGTTAGATTGTATGCTCCTGGAAGGCTGGTGCTGTTTCCATCTTGTTCACTAGTTTCCTTAAATCTTAGAACTCTGTTGGCGCTCAATATGTATTTATTTATTTATAAATATATTTTTATTGATTTCAGAGAGGAAGGGAGAGATAGAAACATACATGATGAAATTTTTTAAAAATATATTTTTATTGTTTTTAGAGAGGAAAGGGGAAAGAGAGAAACATCAGTGATGAGAAAGAATCATTGATCGGCTGCCTCCTGCACGCCCCCTACTGAGGATGGAGCCTGCAATCCGGGCATGTGCCCTTGACTGGCATCCAACCTGGGACCCTTCAGTCCGCAGGCCGACACTCTACCCACCGAGCCAAACCAGCTAGAGCTCAGTATGTATTTATGGAATCCAGTTGAACAACGTTGCTAGTGCTGCAAAGGCCATTCCCCAGAGGGCAAAGCCACGAGTTCGGGGAGCAATGGTGCATACCCTTGGTCTCGCACCCTGGGATTGAGCCACCAAGCTGGTCTAACTGCTTTAAGACGGATTATCAGAGACATCTTGAGTTTGAATATTCTGTCCCCCTGTCTTCACGCGGACACATTACCAATCATTCCGGATGTACAGTCACGTGCTTATGACAGAAGAGAACTGGTCTGGGTTTGGGTTCTAGGCTCTGGCTTTGCTCCCAACTCGCTGAGACCCTGGTCGGCTCCTCTTCGGGCCTCAGCCTTCCCACCTGCAAAAGGAGGTTGGAGCAGACAAAGTCAGACGTGCCTTCCAGGTCTGCCCGCTTTGATTTCCGAGATGCATCCTAGGACTACAGGGGGGGCATGGCTCTGGCACTCTCAGGCTGATGCGGTTTCACATCAGTTTTGGCTCCAAGGTGCCTCTGACGCCAGCACTTGAACTTGACACCAGCCTCTTCCGGGCGATCCATACATTGTGGTTAGAGAAGTGAGGCTTTTGGGCGCAGACAGTGAACTCATCTCCAAAAGGATCCAATCCCATGTGATCCCGGGGAGAGCAGGGCCGTCACGGCGACACCAACACCCGCGTTCTCTTCGCCGCCAGTGGGAGGCGTCATGTCTCTCCACAAGTCAAAGTATTTTTCTTCTTGGCCCACAGACTTCCTTCCACTCCACAGAAACCACGATTGTGCAGAAGAGAGGGGCCCACGTCCATCTAACGCACGCATCTGTGGAAAGTCCGCTAAAGGAAAACTACACTGTTTCTCTTTAGGAAGCTGGTCCTTCGCTGAAGCAGTGCCTGTAGTTTTTAAAGAGCCTTACCCGTTCCCATTTCCTAGTCCGACGCCACGCAGTTGGGACTTCCTCGCCGCCCGGCTGCGCTCAGGTCCTCCGGACCCGCCGACGCTCTAGGTGACCGCCTCGCAGGCCGGCCGGGCTCGCGCCTCTCT